TGTTTAGAGATGTTTTTTATCCTTTATTTAAAAAAAAATTCTCGTCAAACCTATCAACGTGATATTTTAAAATATTATCAGGAGGAACAAGGAAAAATAATTTCTTATTTTAAAAATTTAAACTGTAAATTTTTTCTAACTTCTGATATTTGGACATCTAGAGCACAAACTGGATATTTATGAATCACAGCACACTGAATTGATGAAAATTAGCAAATGTTTAAAAGAGTTTTTTCTTTTATTGTAATAGAAGAGTCACATACTGGTATTAATGTTGCAAATTTAATAATTGAAGAACTTATAAAATTAGAAATTTCAGAAAGAATATTTTCTCTTTCACTAGATAATGCAAGTAATAACAATGTAGCTGTTGATTTTATCAGATCAACTTTGTCATTGCCATGTCATGGTGATCTTTTTTCATATTAGGTGTATCTGTCATATTTTAAAATTAATTGTTCAAAGTGCATTTACTAAAATTAAACCCATGATAGAAAAGGTTAGAACAGTTGCTTATATGCATAATGCTTCTGAATAAAGACTTAAAAGATGAAAACAATTTTGTAAAAGAAAAAATGTAAAGCCCAGACTAATTCCAAAAGATGTTGACCATAGGTGGAATTCCACCTATGTAATGTTAAGTGTAGCAATAGAATATAAAGACATTATAACTGATTTTATAAATTATTATGTTTCTAGTTCTAGTTCTGGTAGCACTTATGGAATAACTGAAGATGAATGGACAATTATATGTAATTTAAATGAAATGTTACAAGTTTTTTATGATGCTACAATGTTATTATCTGACTGTTATTATCCAACCATTACTTTAATTGCTTTACAAATTTTAAATATTCAAATTTTTTTTGGGAAATATCGTATGGATGATACTTTTGGACCTATGATTTTTAAATGGAGAGCAAATTTAATAAGTACTTTAGGCCTATTCCTCATATTTTTGGTTTGGGGTTCTTATTGATCCATGCTTGAAGGATATTGGTCTTAGAAGTTTGTTACAATCCTTGTATGGTAATCAGATAATAGACTTAGATGATAGAACCACCCTTACTGCTACTAGTCATCATTTAGGTATTAGAAATTATTTTTAAACCTTATATGATGGGTATGCAGCTAGACAAGGTGTAGCTACACAACAGTCTACAACTTCGATTTCTTCGAGTTCATCCCGAGGTAAAAGTGTAAGTTTTGATAGGTATGCAATGGTAGCTGAGCTAACTGGTGGATCTGAACTTGGATAGTCATCATTGGAGGTTTCTGAAATAGATGAATATTTATCTGCTTGTCACGCCCCGCTTCCCAAAATACCGGGGAATCGGAACGTGAACAAGCCCGCGACGTATTAGACTGAGAAGAGATAAGTGCTAGACCCCGTCTTCTCAATCTAATACGCTAAGCGTCTGGAAATAAGTACAATACGAAGTCACAGGTCCCCGATCACACATAGCAAGAATATAAAGACAACCCAGAATAAGAAATAAACATATCATCAATGGTAAATCATCCCAGACATAAAAATATGGGTCAAACGTACCCTTATTACAAAAACGGTTCAACTAGGAATAAAATACATAGTCCATAAGCAGAAAAGAAATGCTACAAAAGTAAACTGAGATCATCGAACAACAAGAGGGAATAACTAAACTTCGGCTTCTTCTTCTGCTTCATCTACAAGGCACTCCTGCTGAGAATCTTCTGGCTCCTGTTGAACCTGTTCTTCTCCTAAGTCTGACGTACACCAGAGAAAACAGGTGTACGTCAAGTGCATGGCACACGGCAAGACTCGACCCCACAAAGAAAATAGAACGAACGGAAATCCAACGCGAAAAACGATACGATAACAGAAACAACAAAAGAACGTACAACTGAAATCCACAAATCAACATGAAAACACTACTAAATCATGATAACATAAAGCATCCAAAATCGATCAGGTAACGAATCATGCAGCTAGCGATCAGTCTAATCATCCAAATCATAAGGGCATACACTAGATGGAATTAATACTTAAAAAAATCTACAACTCGAGACGTAGTACGTCGAGCGAAATAATCCAAACAAGGAAACCCTCATGTATATACCATATGTCTCAAATTGTAAATAATTAAATATTAATCCCGATCTATGTATAAAAAGAAA